GATAAGGCAGCCACTAATGTTTGATATTTGCTTCAACTCTCAGCCAGGATGTTACTTAATGTTTTCATAACTGGTCCTTTTAAATTGGCAGCAAGATGAATAGCTTGTTTTTCACTATTCCAACCATTCACCTTGGAAATGATTACAAACTGAGCCTGGTCTGCCTCCCATTGTACCTTTCCATCATAGTCTGTTGGTTTTTTATTAGCCAATGTTTAACTGGCCAGCTAAATTTTAATACTGGGTTTGGCAGTGACATAACTGGTTTAATTCAGGTAGGTCCTGCAGCACAGATGACAGCAGTAGTGGTAGCAGGTGTGAACCAGAGAGATTCTCCTATTTCATATTTTGTAGTAAAATGTGCTTTAGGTTGGAATTCTTAAACCAGTACAGAAAGAGTTGTGGCTGGTTTAATCTCTGCATCAATCACTCCTTTTCCAAATGTTTCATTCTGTTATTGATGCTTTTAAAGAATTCTCATTGATCATGCGGTTTTAATCTTTCTGTACATTATATTAATTATAGTCTTTATGGATGATTTTTAATTTTTCAATTTTGTCATTATATTCTGTACTTTGTTGCTGTCTTTCTTCAAACTTGTTGTTTTAATCCCTTTGTATATTCCCAATGGTCTTGTGGACCTTGTCTTCAATCATATTTATTTTTGTTCTTAATTATTTCTAAGTTTGAGTTTCTTTCTTTTAAATTCCAGTCTCTCGCCTTTTGATCATCTTTCAGTTTTCTATAAATTTATTCTTGGTCCTCCTTTTTTGTGTTATTCCTCTAATTTTCAGTCCCATTCTTCTTGATTTTTTAAATCTGTTACGACAGCGGAGGTCACGTGACTCTGGTAACACGTCATATTCTCGAAGGTTCGTGAATGCTCGAGTATTTACTAGATATGCGGTATTCATGTATATAAGACCGCCAAGAAGTGACGGCAACAATCGAATGGAATGTAGTTGAATTGCAGACAGAGATAGAGATGGACAGTTGGGTTGAGCGCGTGTGTCGTTCGTTGTGAATTATAGCGTTTGTTTAAGTTATAGAGTGACTGTGGAAATTAAGTGAATTTCAAAGTTGTATTGAGAAAGAATAAACTAATTTCATTTAATAAAGGACTTGTGTCGCTAAAGTTTCATCGGATAGAAATTATACGGGAAATTAACCAACGACCAGAGACGTAACAAACTGGTGTCAGAGAGTGGGACAAACAAAAAATGGAAACGTGAAGCCGCAAATCAAACTACAGCTTAGCAGATTTGATAGCAGCAATACAAGAGCAGCAAAAGAAACAAGAAGAACGAGAAAAGAAACAAGAAGAGAGAGACAACAGCAGTTGCAAGAAAACCTGCAACAGTAGCAGTTTGAACAAGAAAATAAACAAGAAGAGAGATTACAACAGTTGTTGGAGGAAAAAGAAAAGAAACAAGAAGAATGAGAAAAGAAACAAAAAGAACGATAAAAGAAACAAGAAGAGAGATTACAGCAGTGGCAAGAAAACGTGCAACAGGGTTTTGAGTAGACCAGAGAGGAACTACTGTGTTACACGGAGGGAACTCCTTGCTATAGTAAAGAGTCTGACATATCTCCATTCTTACCTCTATGGTGTAAGGTTTACCATCAGGACAGACTATGCTGTGTTACGCTGTGTTGTGCTGTGTTATGCTGGCACATTGGATCGGAAAGATAGACCAGTATAATTATAATATTGAATATAGAGAAGAAAAATATCATGGTAATGCCGATGGACTGAGCCGAACACCCTGCAAAAATGACTGCAGACGTTGCTACAAAAGAGAGGTTGAGCTAACCAGGTGTCATCAAGCGGAAGTCCAAGTGACTGAAGGAGCTGGTGATGGTGAAATGGAACCTGGTATAGATATTAAGTCAGAGCAGGAGAAAGACCAAGATTTGAAGCCAATAATTGATTTTCTAAAAGCAAATGTTTTGTGCCCTGCTTGGGAGAAGGTGTCTAGTCTAAGTCCTGTGACTAAGAACAATTGGGCACAATGGGACCAGTTGAAGCTTGAAGATGGTACTCTTCTCCAGAGATGGGAAAGTGACGACCTGGCAAACGGTTATACCGAGAAAGTTAGGGGAAGTTGTGCTGCGTCAATCCCATGATACTTTAACAGGAGGACATCTCGGAGTTAAGAAAACATTGAGTCACCTACGACAGAGATTTTACTAGATAGGAATGAGGCAAGATGTGGAAGAATGTTGCAGGACCTGCAGTACATGTGCTAAAAGGGGACCCAAGCATAAGGGACGTGCTCCAATGAAGTTATATCAATTTAGTGCACCAATGGAAAGAGTAGCCATTGACATTGCTGGTCCATTGCCCAAAACTCGTGCTGGAAACAAGTACATTTATGTGGTGATGGACTATTTCACCAAGTTGCCCGAGGCATATGCAATACCAAATCAACTGTAGCTTCGACTATTAGTGATTTCTTCTTGAGATTTGGTATGCCATATGAACTGCATTCAGATCAAGGCCGTAACTTTGAATCAGCTGTGCTCCAAGAATGCTGCAAGTTGTTTGGCATCCGAAAGACCAGGACAATGCCACTTCACCCA